TTGTAAGGGTGTGGTCACATCTAGGAAAAGGATGGAAGGGGCGTGGCCAAAGTTGTACTAGACATACCCTGATTTTTCTGCATAGAGCGTAGCAATATGTTATATGGAAGCCCCTCATTCATTTGCAAATTTTACTCAATCAGCTGTGGATAGATTTTTAGTAAAATCAAGCTCGAATGAAATTTTGGATGAATATTTTTCAAACCTACAGTATCTCCTTCGGATAACGTTCGTCCCGGTTCTACAACAACTCCGTTACTGGTTCGGCAACCGATAACTTTAGTACTCCACGATCCGTCTCTATTGATTTTACACTTCATCACAAAGGTTGACCGTACCACCTGTAAAGTTCACTAATCGTCGCTTTCAGATCTTCAAAAGTGCTTGCCACATGACTATCTTAAAGGTCATTTCCATCCCATAAGAATCAGCAACGATGATAATAACTAGTTGGGAGAGACTCTTCAAAAGTATCTCTGACTGACTCTTCTCATTATGGTTTACAAGGTCGTAGATGGAAGATCGAAAATCTTTGCTCACCCAGGTGTCGCCATCCTTGTACTTCTCCCCTTTGTATTGGCATGCCATTGTGGCGGTGAATAGTGTTAGTACTATTGCAAAAAGCATTCTGAAAACAAATACAGTATGATTACTGGTATGATTACTGTAATCTTTCTCATGGAAGCAATACCGATCGTAAGTGGAACAATGGACGAGAGAAGAAAAGGTAAAGATACTATGCTGGTTGGATATTACTGAAGGAGGCCGTTCATATAGAAAGAGCTAAGAATTTCATTTTCCAAGGCCAGCTGACTTAGATCATCGGCCTCAGAATCATCAACGAGGGACAATCATCGCTTCTACTCCGTATAAAACAGAAAGACATTCTATGGATGGAGTACCCACCCTTTCAAAGCCCCCGCAAAAAGGCTAGAACCCAGGTACGTGGCTCATCGCGAAAAAGACAAATGAGAGTCAGACTTCTTAACGCTATTCATTACAAAAGGAATGAGCGGCGGTTGGGCAAGAAAGTGAATAGAGAGGAAGTTTGGGCAAAGATTAACAGTTTTGGCTTCATATGCTTGGAATAATAACCGGTATAAGTGGTGTGGCGGCATGTGGCGCACTATTGCACAGCCCTAGTTCAAGGATCGTATTCCAGATCGCCCGGGGCAATGAAGCCTTCCATCCTCCGGAGTGACTTGATTGGCACCACACTTGTCTCGAAGGATAAAGGCACCGACTTGTATGCCTTTATCCTCCCAGAAAAGTTGCCATGGCTGGCCATCGTATGTCGTTGTAGAGGTTACATACGCAATTCCAAATAGAAGCCGAATGCGAGGCGTACACCGAAACGTAGTTATCCAGCGCCAGAAACCCCTACCCTCAAGACTTTTATAGTGGCCAGAAATTAAAAAAGTGTAAGAACTTTTGAGATGAACCATGTGATGCGATACCGAGAGGCAGATCGATATGCTGAAATCAGGTCCAAACAAAGTATGACAAATGTGATTGAGATGACACCCAACTTGTCGTGCATATTGCGGTCGTCCTGACCTGATAGCTAATTTTAGAAAAGGATCAACACCTCGGCCGGCAAGAGCTCCCAGAATGTAAAGACAGAGAAACCTATCCAAAGACTTCACCGAATTAGTCAACTAAAGAAATTTTAGTTTTTACAGCAGGTTTGCAGAAGGGAGCAAGATAGTATCGGCTGGGAATCCACAACAGTCCCAATTTCTACCGCGATTTTCTGGAATCTTCCATAAAAATATTATGAATTGACAATTCCACGGCAACACATCAGAAGATTTCATGGTAACGCATACGGTTAACCATATCGAGGTTCAAGTTCCACCTTTCCTTCGCAGGCTTTGAAGC